GGGGCGGCTCGGTGGCCGTCCCGCTCGCCCGGGAGCGGCTCCCGCAGCGGCTGCTGGCGGGGACGTGCTGGGGAGGGCCCGGGCTGCGAGGGCCCCTCGGACTCGTGCTGCTCGCGCCGATAAGCGCGGCGGAATGCGGCGCTCCGGCGCCTTTCTTACTGTCTCGCTGCCGCCGTAGTTCGTTTATAATTATTGCTCCTTTTACTGTGCACGCTACTAGTCACGTTAACGCGATGAGAATGGAAACCTAGAGCTCTTATTGAGAATAGAAGCACTGAGCACTTAATGGGTATAGAAACCTAGAGCACTTTCTTCTTTATGAGCTCATTTAAGGGGGGCATCTTGTTTCAGGGAGGTCCTGTGAGTGTCAGGACTCTAAGGCACTTGTGTAATCCTGGGATTAATACCTCTCTGAGCAGTTTTTCGTAGTTTGTCGTCTTTTCTGCATCAGAGATGTAACGGGACAATAACGAGGGGCCTTTCCCACATAAAGGGCCTGGAGCTGAAAATTAAGCACTCGTGTTTAGTTTCTGAGTCTTCTATTTAAACTTCTCCTGTGCTGTTGTGGCCCCAAACTATGTTTACGTTTGGGCAGCTGGAGGTCCTTGGTTACAGGAGGACCCTGCTGCATGTTCAGTGTCCTGTGGCTTCTTCTGACCTTCCCACCATCCAAAACATCACAGACTTTTGGAAAGCAGGTGAAGATGGTCCAGACATTTGTGGTCTGTGCAGCTGCATTTTTGAGAATAATCTTAAATTGACTCAGTAACATGCTGGATACTCCAAGGCCACTAGAGGCCTATTCCTGGCCATGATCTTTTGTTGCTTTTTTGAGCAGGTTGTGGTGATTAAATCCATTGTAAAGAAGCGGAGCTATTTCTGCTGAAGTTGGAAAATGATACCGCCCAGGGCCCTGAGGAAGGAAATGTCACCCTTGTACTGTAACAGTTTTCTACAACAGCATTTCTTCACATTGCTCAGTCTGGTTCTGCTTGTTTGTTGTGATGGAGAAACAAATATACTGAGAAAAACTGTTTTGTTTTTCAGAGTGATCTACACAAAATTTATAAATCTGCATCAGCCACAGATGGACTCTCTGCATCTTCGTTTATAGATTATCCAAACTATAAGCCGTTCATTAATTCTGATTTGCTGCGCTCCCCACGGAAACCTGTCATTCCATATCCGGAAAGTAACAGCAGAGGTAACAAATTGTTCAGCTAAATTTTCTCGCCTGTTTCCCAGCCACCTGGTTTAGGGGCTTGGATATGATTAGTGAAGCGGATGTGATCTTTTCATCCTTTCCTGCTTCCCAGGAATGTGTATTTTAGTTCCTTACCACTCATTTTACTGAAAATTCTTCTTACAGCTGGAGCAAGATGCTGCCTTTAGCAGTATGCACTATAATATTAGCCAGGTTCTTTGAAACTGGCTTGATGTGTTTTCATTGCCTCTTTTTTCATCTTCTTCCTTCAAGCCCACCTGTCATTATTTCACATCTGAGCTTGTTATAAAGAGCCTCGAGTTCCCCAAATGACTTGGGAGCAGAGGGAAGGCCTCATGTTGATGAAATGGGAAGACCTCATGTACAAAAGGTAGAGGGGCAAGATTTATCAGCAAGGTGCTTGGAACA